GAAAAAAAAGAAGGTTTATTTCGTATGTATATGATGGGTAAACGTGTAAATTATGCTGGTCGATCAGTAATATCACCTGATACATTTATTGCAATTTATCAAGTTGGAATACCTGAAATATTTGCAAAAAAATTAACTTATCCAGAATTAGTTACACGACATAATGTTGATGAATTACGTCAATTAATTCTTAATGGACCAGATGTTCATTCTGGGTATAAAACAAAAATTCTTTGATGATATACAATAAAAAAAGATTATTTTAGAGGAAATTTTGTTGAACTTGAAGATGAAACAATTCGTCGTTTATTACCAAATAATTTATCTCAACGAACAGCTGTTGCTAAACTTTAATTAAAAAGAGAAAAACAACATAGTAATACAAGTTTAATGTTTAGAAAAAAAGTGTTATCGACATCTTCGAACCGGTGATTATGTTCTTGTTAATCGTCAACCAAGATTACATCGACCAAGTATACAAGCTCATATGGGAAATTTTTTTTTTTTTGTTCTTTGAATGATATTTTAATTGTATTAATTATAGGATCGAGTATAACCTGGTGAAAAAACCTTAAGATTACATTATGCTCAATGTGAACCTACTGAATTAAGTATATATGTTTTTTTTGTCAAGGAAAAAAAAAATTTTGTTTTTTCTATTTTTAGTGATAAATTATCAAGATTTTCTTGTAAGTTAAGATGGAACACCATTAACTGGTCTTATTCAAGATCATGTTCTTGCTGGTAGAACATTAACAATGCGTGATCGAGTTTTTGAAAAGTATTTTATTTTATTCAAGTTATTAAATTATATTTATATAAATTCTTTTTTATTTTAAGATCTGATTATCAACAACTTCTATATAATGCAATTGGATCAGATTCTCGTCGAAAAATTCATTTATTACCACCATGTATTTGGAAAGCAAAACAATTATGGACTGGAAAACAAGGATTTCTTTGTTTCTCTTAATAAAATCTATTTGTTTTTTTATTAAGATTATTTCAACAATACTTCTTTATATTCAACCAGTTAATCAAGCTTCACTTTATCTCGATAGTAAATCAAAACTTTCAATGAGAAAGTAACAAAAAAATGAATATATAAATAATAAAATAATAAAAATATTTCTTAAAGTCATGCCCATCAAAATCAAATGCAACAAATATTGATTTAATGGCTAATACAGATGTTATTATTCGTCATGAACATCTTCTATCTGGTTTAATTGATAAAGCACATTGTGGTTCAACACTTGCATCTCTTCTTCATTGTTATTATCAATTATATGGAAAACGTTGTGCTGCTGATCTTGTTACTGCTTTTTCGAAATAATTTACACGTTTTTTTACAATATTATCTTCAATTTACACTTGGAATTGAAGGTAAAAAAATTTTTTTTTGATCTAGAAATAAATATTTTTTGTTTTAGATGTTCTTTTACTTTCACTTGATGTATCACATCGACGTCGATTAATAAATCAATGTCGTGCTCAAGCAGGTCAAAAAGCTTTACAAAAAACATTTTCTCTTCCAGAAAATTCTAATGAACAAATACTTATTAATCAATTTGCTAAAGGATTTTGTTCAAAATCATTTGATGAACGTATATCAAAAGAAATCGATATAAATTATAAAATATCTATTGATGAACATCAAAATCAAATTGTTAAACAATCTATGTCAAATTTATTTAAACAATTTTCAGAAAATAAGTTTACAATTTTTAATTCAATCCGGTGCTAAAGGTTAAACTATTGATTCATTGATTTTTATTTAGATTTGTTTTCGTTTATTGTGAAGCATTTGAAATTGAAATAGGATTTAGACTGAAGTCATCGACTAGTACAATATCTTATTGAAAATCAGAATCTACGTATAAAGCTTTCTATCCTATATTTATTATTTCAGGTCGACTAATTCTATACTCGAATCTTTTAATAACTACGTCACTTCGATTTTTATATCACTATCAAATCGATTTCGGATTTTTCAACCTGGAAATCCCTCACAAGCACAGAAGTGTATAAGATTCCGTCAAATTTTCAAACTGTCTGACGAGGGAAGGTCCCCAAGTTAAGGACGCTGTTCGACTCCATATTATGACAACGAGGTAGGACCAAGAAAAGCCTAACAGGATTCGTGCCTGTGGCAACGGATTTCCGAAAAGACCGAATTAAAGAATTTCGATTTGAAATTTTGTCCATAGATAGGTCTAATGGTCATTGTAATTGCCTGAAAGTTTCAGCCAAAACGAACGTTCCTTTCTCGAGATATTGAATTGTCAAAAACTAGTCACTTTTCACAGACAGATCACCAAAACCAAATTCAATATCTCGAGAAAGGAACGTTCGTTTTGGCTGAAACTTTCAGACAATTCTAATGACCATTAGACTTATCTATGGACAAAATTTCAGGTCGAAATTCTTTAATTCGGTCTTTTCGGAAATTCCTTACCACAGGCCCAAAATTCAGTAAAACGGTCATAACTCTTCGTCGATATGCCATAGGCACAAATCCTTTCAGACTTTTCTTAGTCTCATAGAGACCTACCTCGTAATTATAATATGAGTCCGTAATTTGGAGATCCTCCCTCGTGAGAACTTTGATACGAGCTATGATAATTATGTGAATGTACTAAATATTGACTTGTATACTTTTTTCAGTTCCTTGTTTTCATATAACCTGAATGATGCGTTCATTACACTACTTTTCTCATTCATACATTCATCTGTCATCACTATTTTGTAAATTTTAATATAGATATGCTAAACTGCGCTTATTGCAATAGTTTGGTTTGAGAAAGTATCGAGCTTGAGAAGAGTTGAGAAAAAACCTCTATATACTGTCGTCTGACAGACGACGGAAAGAAATATAAAGTAAACCTTTTACTACCAAATCTTTTTATATGATATGTATCTCAAAAGCGAACGAAAAGAATAATC